GCCCAGACTTCCTACAGTTAAGTTCCTATAGTAAAGTTCATGTGGCTAATGGAATATGGGAAGAAGGGGTAAATTCCACTTCCAAGCATGACCAATACATGCCTCCTTCATATGGATCTCCATTCTCTCTTGCAGTGACCTTGCAGGCCATGTATCAAGGGGGCCTGGATTCCCAAATGACTGCACAAAGCAGTCTAGACTCCACCCACCACCCTAGCTGCCAAATACACTGCATTGTAATCTGGGGACTTGTTACAGCAGTTACATCACCCCAATAAACACACACACACACACACTTATGCCAAATAAAAAATAGCTTGAGGATTCAATAGCAACATAAACTTGCATTCAATGAGTCATAAATAACAAATCAGGATGAGTACTGGGCTGGAGGTGAGGCCCTATGAGTTCAACCCCTGACTCTGACACTGGGTTTCTGTAAAAAAGATGACCAGATATCGGGCAATACAAAGGACTGGTTAGATTTAAGGAGAAGGACATCAGGTACAGAGAGATCAAGCAGGGTATTCCTGCCATGCTGGATTTGTAAAGTGATAATGGGGGCCTGGGGTAATGGAGGAATGAATGAGACCAACATATGTAAAATGCTTAAAGGAAAGACAAATTTCTAGTAGGTGATGGGCAAACTGGTTATGCACTTGAAGAGAAATAAAAAAGACAGAAGAGGGCACTAGTTTGGAGGCAGATGACACACATGGCTTCAGACACATTGGCGCTAACATATTTTTCAACAGAAAGGTCAGACGCAGCTCTGGGATTTAGAAGAGGGTCCAGGCTTGAAATATAGACTCGAAATAAACAGAATTTTCTGACTACAAATAACCAGAATTTATCTGCTCTTGTTCGTCTCTCTTCTCCTAGTTCTTCCACTTGCTGGTTTCCACATTTGAGGCCCAACCCAGTTTAGCTTGACCTAAAACCGGATACTGGCTTAGTGCTCATACCCCCTGATATTGGTGTGCGCCTTTCCCTGCTCTGTCACTGCCTGTCAATCTTTAACCTAAAGCTCTGGGTTTCAGGCATGCCTAGTGCCTTCATGGTGCTGTGTCCTCTTTTCTCCTCATCCCTTAGATATGGAACCTTCTAGGTAATCACCCTCCATCCTCTTTTTGCTTACATTTCCAATGAATTTCTAGAGTTCTGACAATGGACCCAAGACCCTGACAATGACCCCAAGCTCTCATCCTAGTGCCATTTTCAAAAAGAGACAGTTTCAAAAATCTAAACATGTTCTCAAGACAATTTCTACTTTAGAAGAAAGTATTTACACATTTTTTTGGGATTTTCTTTTCCCTAAGATCTGGATATGCATCACTTTATCTCTCTTGCTCAGCCATTCAACACATTTCACTTTTTCGTCCCCTTTATAACACCATGCTTAGCCCAGAAAAGTGGGGTAGAGAGTACTGGCTTCTTTAGTAAATGTCAGGGGCCACAGACTAACACCCAGACACTAGTTAAGCAACAGACTCCATAACAGCCACTAAGTGTCGGGCTCTATCTTATAGCAGATGGAGGAGAGGAGCTGCTGCTGCTCTGGAGGGTTGCACCCCATCCTGAACCCAGCACTCAAGCTTTCATCCACAGAGGACCCACACCTTCCTGTAGTGACTCCTGAGGACAGCACTTCCCACACCCAGTGCTCAGAAACTGACTTAGCCACACACAGCACCCACTGATACGTCTTGCTTCTCCATGGCAGCTTGGGCACAAGTGGGCTCTAAAGGTCAGTCCCTCACCTTCCTCCAGGCCCTCTCAGCCCTCCACTCAATTGAAAGGTGTTTCCCAGTCCCCACAGAGAGAGCTCTTTCCATCCTTCTGACCTGAGCCTTTAGAGCTCAAGTGGCTGCCCCAGTGTTCGCCCTCTGAACAGGTTGCTGGGAGTATAATGAGAATGAGCCCAAGGCACCACCAAGTTGAGAAAAACCTGCCTTGTGAAGTAAAGAGGACAAGGATGATGTATGTCTACAAGTGCCATCTTTAATCAAAGCAAAACTGCCTCGTGAAGGCCAGTCATCTCAATTGAGACCTTACCTGGTTCTCTGGCATGTTCTTTGGCCTTGGATTCCTGAAATTCAAACAAAAAGTAGCATTCATAAATTGCCAATAATGCAAATTTCTTTACATTAAGAAAATGTGCCTGAGACCAGCCTGGAGATATAAGGTCAGCAGTCACAATAGTGAAAAAATACAGCAATAATGCTTTTGAATGACCCCCCGTATGTAGTGGCACCTCCAGTTACTCAGAACAAAAATCACTGGCAAAAACTAGTCACAAATAACAGAAACCCAGTGATTACCAAGTGTCCAGGGTATGGGGTAAGATCTGCATCTTTTCCCCATTTAACATTTATTGAGTCTTTCCCATGAACACTGTACCATTTGTGTTACACAGGTTGTCTCACCCAACCCTCACAACAATCCAACAATCCAACAAGGTAAATATACTATTACTATACCATTTTAGGAATACTTAGTACATGCGGGATGGATCGCTATCTCCTCAAAACAATGTAAAAGTAAAACTAATACAGCAAGTTCCAGGTTAAGAGCAACACAAAATTTTATATCATAAACCATCCTTATTATAACCCCCAAATCTTGACTTTTCTGAAAGTGTCTAAAAGCAAACAAAATGTGCCTCCTCCTTCATTATTCCATACCTGTCCCACCACATCTGTAAGTTGCATTTCTCACTGCAGTTTGATTTATATTTTTTGTTCCACTATGTGTTCCTCGTTGTGCTTCCCATCCCATACACCTTGGGAGAACACCCTACTTCCTGTCTACTTGCTCCTTTACTAACCTTTGCTGGAATTTTCTCCTTAGAGGCATCATGGACTTCATTTGGGGCTGGAGGCAACTTGACCGTTAACTTAAATGTTCCTTTTCCTGGCAATGCCAACTCATGGTTCTCTCTCTCCAGAACGTTCTGCCGCACTGAAATATCAAAAAAGAAGGGAGGAGAAGAAGAACCATCAAGCAATCTTTATTCACAAAATTATTCCGTATTTCCAAAGCCTTTGTCATCATCAATCAATTACTCAGTTATTTCCCCAAGAGAGACCTTACGTGGGAAAAAAAAAAGGAAAAGTTTATCAAGCAGACATGGATATGAATTCTATCTTTAAACTTATTTTTTTAACCTTAAGTATTTCCAGAGCCTCAGTCTTCTTGCATAATAAGCAATTAATAAAGATTGTATTATATAGGTGTTATGTGGATTCAACTGAAGAAGCATAAAGAATGTAGTATAGTACCTGATGCTCAGTGGGCACTCAGAAAGGGAGAAATATTTATTGTACAGTAAATGAAATAATTAAAGCATCCGTCACAGTGAGCCCGTGAACATTGGGTGCTGGGACATGGCATGATAAAAGCCATGTTTTATGAAGGTGACTCGGGTAACCAGGAGCCTAGCTAAAAAGTTTTTCAATCAATGCTGTTAACTTGTGAAAAGAAAAGCCTCCCATCTGATAAGGAAAGGAAATGGAATAAATGGATGGAGAGATTTAAAAAGAAAATCACACATCAGGCAGCTGGGCTGTAGTGAAAAAAAAAACTGAACAGTGAGTATAAGCATTCAAAAAACCTTGATCTGAATTCCAACTCTAGATGAGTGACATTGAGAAACTATCTGAAGTTTTCTTAAACCTGTTTTCTCATTCAAACCGGTGGTCTGTGAATGAATTTTGTAGCACACACAAGAGGTATGCAAATGTAAGTTATAATTATAAGAGGCAGGCAGAGAAAGAAAGGAAAAGTTAGTGTATCTCAGAGTGTGGAGAATAGGGAGTGAGTTTCGATGAGGAGATGTAGTTGACATAGTCAGATGGTGCAAAAATGTCAGGATGAAGAGGAACCTTTGAGAGTTCCCTACTGTTCACTGTTGTAGCCCTGCCATGAATGTTTGGTTACCATGTTGTATTCTGATAAGGTTGGTGTAATGAGGTGAAGGATACAAGTAGGAATCTTTCAAAAAAAAGGGGGGGCTTAAGTAGCTTTCCCACCTCAACCATCCATGGAAAGATAGGATGCCAATAGAATGAAAGAGACCCCCAGAAATAATATAAGACTCAAATTTCACTCTTGATGGGAGGAAAGATGTCTTCACAGAGACTCCTAAGGGGCTGCCCCAAGCTTCCGTAAGGGCTGGATAAGAACCCGGTGCCAGAGAGGAAGCTCAGTTTTGTAAGTCAGGCTGTCCATGGACCTCTGTGATATCTTCCTTTTATTATTCCCTAGACTTTGGTAGAGTCCTATCCAGACACTTATTTCTTTATTGATATCAGAGAGGAAGAGAGGGAGAGGGAGAGAGAGAGAGAGAGAGAGAGAGAGAGAGAGAGAGAGAGAGAGAAGATGAAGGGAGAGGGGGAGAGAGATAGAAACATCAATGAAGAGAATCACTGATCAGCTGCCTCCTGCATGCTTCCTAATGGGGATGGAGCCCACAACCTGGGGCATGTGCCCTGGACGGGAATCGATGGAATCCGGGCCTGGCTAGGGCCACACATTTAAATGTGACAGCCTGGCCCTGGCCTGTGTTGCTCAATGGTAAGAGTATCGACCCTCCCATGGAAGGGCCAGGGGTTTAATTCCTGGTCAAGGGCACGTACCTGGGTTTCAGGTTCCATCCCCTGGCCCCAATCAGGGCGAGTGCAGAAGAAAACCAATTGATGTGTCTCTCTCACACCAATGTTTCTTTTTCTCTCTCTTCCTTTTTCCCCTATACCTTCCAATCAATGGAAGAAAATATCCATGGGTGAGAATAAACTAAACCAATTAAATTAAATTACAAAATAAAAATGTCAGCCTGGCTCAGCTGGTGTGCTCAGTGGTTGAGCTTCAACCTATGAACCAAGAGGTCACAGTTTGATTCCCAGTCAGGGCACATGACTGGGTTTTGGTCTCTATGCCACATAGGAGGCATGCAAGAGACAGCCAAACAATGATTCTCCCTCATCATTAATATTTCTATCTTTCTCTCCCTTCCTCTCTGAAATCTATCAAAAATAATTTAAAAATAAATAAATGTGCCATCCTGTTCTGTGTGCAATATGCATGGGCATCACTACTTCAAGAGGACAGAGGGCATGCTCC